ATTAAATTTTATTTTAATTATAAATTTTTTAATTTAAATACCACTTAGTTTGCAAGAGTAATTTTAGTTACAAAAAAGTTGGAGCCTATTTTTTTGACTTTTGAAAAGTACTTAACAACTTTTTAAAATCAACAGTTGTTTGGAAATTAAAATCCAAAACTCATTAAGAAAAAAATAATTCTAAAAGCACTTTACGAAAGACCAGCAGAATATTTGCTAAAAGTGATCTCCACTAGCTCTTGGAAAATGCAATTGCCAGCAAGGGTGGCATGATTGGGAAACGCTACGTTCAAAAGCACGTTTGGTCATAAGGGAAGGGAGGCGGGTGAATTAAAGAAGAGAGGCAGACAACAAACGGCTAAACGAGAAACAAGAAAAAGACTGAGAGATAGTAGCGTGGTAATATCATAAATTAAGTACATACTTAACTCCCTCATTAATACCCAAACCCGAATGTACATTTCAAAAGCTGTACCCAATCACATTGAGACAAAGCGCATTCACCAACTTTCTCAAAATATATTCACAATGCCATTTCATCTCATTATTCTTAGCTAAACACTCTCCTAGGAATTTTTTTTTTTTTCAAGTGCAAGACACTTTTAGAAAAGTAAAAAGTGGGCAAATCAAACCAATCAATAATTCAAATAATTTTTAATTTATTAAATCATGCCAAAATGCATGGCATAGTTTAAAAGGAGAATGCCAATCAGGACTTGGAAAAGTTTTAATTTCTTAAAAAAATTCAACAATTATTCAATATATTCATCTTACAACGTACCTCATTGATACTCTCAATAGTTTATTAAAAGATATGAATAATCATATTTAAGAATCATTGAAAAAAATATTCACAAATAAAAATTAATATGAAATAAATTATAAAATTTGTTGTTAATCTTTATTTATGATAACTTATTTGAGTAGTTTTTAAATATAATTCTCCCAGTTAACCAAACATGGAGATAAAGAGCGGGTTTCCTCATCAACCACCGGTCTGGGTTCAACAGGTTGTCAATCTAACCGGCCAGTCCGGTCCAGCACCATGCAGTAACACATGCACCACTCAAATGGTCGCACTTCTCTCTCCTCCTCGATTCGTCACAGGTTATGTTCACCGAATATGATGGGCAGCGAGAGAGTGTGGAAAAACAAGGAAACAAATACTGTGAACTTCTTTTGAGATGAGGCGCCTAGTTTCGGTCGACAACAGACAAAGGAACCGCCTCACCGCTTTGAGATGGATATATAATTAACAGGTGGCCGCCACTGTCTTTCTCCAATTTCCACTTCTTTCCTTATCTTCTTCTCTGGTTTCAGATCGATTGTATGTAAAACATGGAAAAGCGCATCATCTACGGATGGGTTATTGCAGTTACTTGCTTCTTCCTAGTACTGATGATGGTGACCCCAGAATTCCTCAGCCTCAAAACTACCACGATTTCGCTGACAAACGCCAATTCTTCGGTTAGCGCTTCATTATCCTCAGAGGGGCTATTGTTAATGAAATATTTGTTGCCTTTGTGTTTGCTGAATGGATTAATTCACATTAATGTGACATTGGGTGAACTGGTGGAGTAAATGTGTCTTAAGGTATTTATGTGAACTGAGTGGAAGCTCCTTCTTCTTGTTTTTTTTTTTAAATTTTTTTATTTTTTAATTGCTAGAAGGAAACATGTTATTGGTTCTTCGAACATCCTAATATCTCACTAACTATTGTGTGTTAATTCGAAAATGTGAATATTTGGCTGAAGTAATCGTATTTATAATATATACGCGAATTTAGCGCTTCTCTGATTGAATTAACCAAACTTGAAATATTTATCATCCTCACAGGGCAATTGCCTATTGGGACTTGTTTTACCTATTGTGTTTTCTAAATGGATTAATTCTCATATGTGATATTGTTTGAACCTAAAATACAAGGCTATTTTTTAAGATCTTCATGTGCATATGTCAATTTATGTGAACTGAGTTGAAGATTTTTTTTTTCCCGTTCTGTTTTTTTAAACGTCCGGAAAACGAACATGATAGTTTCTTTGAATATCCGATCACTTGACAACAAACTATTATGGGTTAATTAAAAAAATTGAAATTTAGCTCAAGTAGGCGTGTTTTTCAAGATATTTATGTGATTGAATTGATGTGAACTGGGTGTAATTTATTTAATTATTTTGAAAACAGCAATCATTTTACTTCTTTCAATAGCCTAATCACTTACCAAAAGAACCATCGACGGAAGAATCAGTATCAATATCAATTAGATTCAGAGAAGTTACAGTGAGTAGTCCTATTCATAAGTTGGTAAACGGTGCTCCTGCCTCTTAGGTTGTGCGCTAGCTTAATTTTGAATTTTCTTGCAATTACCGCAAGGGGCCCACTTCTAGTTATATAAGATGAAGTGGATCTGTTGCTTCACTAATATTCAGGAGTAATATAGTAGGACAAACGGCAATCAAGATTTCTAGACTATTCTTTCTTATTCCACTTTGTTTTGCAGTAAAATTTGAAATTGAAGGGATTGTTATGCTGGGTAGGCATTCCTAACGCAGCTGATGTGATGTCAAATTTCCCATACCTGGCTATTGGACTCATTGGGCTAGACTTTGCAATCATGGGAATTATTTCAAGATCAGGTATTCTATTTGTCACTGCCAATTTCTTGCATAGACATATATATGCTTTTTCATATGATTGTTTGTGACTTGTATTTGTGAATCATATTACGTATTTTGCCAAAAGCTCACAAGGTGAAAGAGGGGTTGGACGTCCTTTTATGTTGGCATGACTGGTGTTGCATTCGGCTCTTCATACTATCATCTCAAGCCAAACGATGATCGCTTGTGTGGGATAGATTGCCAGTGAGTTTTTTTCCCCTTTCTTTTTCAGATAAAACAGTTGAATCAGTAATTATATAGAAGTCTATTCCCTTAATCCCTTTTTTCCTATTTGAATTTTTCACTTGTTATTTACTCCTTAGCTGTCTACCGTTGCAATGACTGTTAGTGCTGTATCAGTCCTAGCAATATTCATCATTGAAAGGATTGAGAGAAGAAGGGAACCATGTCAATCATACCTTTAAACATGACCGGCATATTCAGCATTGTGTATTGGAGGTAAGCTTCTTTGCTTCTTTTTCTTTATATTCACGCTGGTTCTTTTGATATAATCCAATAACATCGATCGACTGTAGCATTTTTCAATGAATTCCTACTGTCAGTGAAGCTAGTTGTTGTACAGACATAACAACTATTTGCTATTTCTGTAGATTTAGTTGTCAAAGAGATGCAGAACATTCATTGAGTTATGAAATCAAGTAGTGGGTTTGAAGTTTGAACAATTTCCAAAGTTAAACTAGTAATTTTAATGTTGCAATAAGTCCTTTAAATGATTTCCATTTAAGGTGAAGAATTGCATCTCCAAGCACTTGAACATGCGCGAGGATTATCCTCAACCTCTTTTCTTAATGTAGGTTATATCAAGACCTTCGCCTTTATGGTCTGGTCCAATTTGTGCATGTATTGCCATTGCTCTCATTGCTCTTTTGGTGCCTCCAAGTACACGCATTCAGCTACTGGCTCTGGGCGGCAGGTCCGGGTTACACTCCACGTGCACATCCATGTCCACTTCGTTTTAAATACCAATCATGCTTAAATCATTTGATGCCATTGCAGGATTTTATCTTTTAGCTAGGTCGGAGAGGCTACTGATAGAGTGACTTTCAAATTGACTTTTCATACTGTGAGCGGCCACACAATCAAGCACTTGTCTGCTTTCATGGTTCCGTCTATCGACAGTCATGCTTGCAAAGAGGAACGTTGATGTCAAGGGTATTTCAATGCATGCATCATCTTAAATGGATTTGCTAATTTAGGAATTGATTTTTTTTTTCCTGAAACATGGCCTCAAATTGAATCGTTGTTTTGAAAGGGGAGGGGGGGATAAAAAACTCAAGAAGGAGAATGCACTGGCACCAACCTCAGGTGCCATGACAGGTTCCTTTCATAAAATCTTTCTAACGTGTCTGCTGGAAATTGAGATGCATATGTAGCATGAAAAAAAAAAAAGTAGTACCATTAATACGTAATCTTTAACAAGGCAGCTAGATATGAGTATTTGTTTTTCTTCTTTTGGGATTTCATAACAATTGTGGTTTTTTTTTTGATACTTTTCTCTGAGATACAGTATCAATGTATTTCATAGGTAGCTATGCCCATGTTCCATTCGTTTTTCCTGTTATTGATTTGCCTTTTACCATTAATCATAGCTTGTGAGATGTCACATGATTCAAGCTTTTAAAGTCATTTAATTTATGTCATACAACCTTGAGTTGCAAATTTGTTAGCATATACGAACTGCAAAGTATTGTAAAATATCATAACTTCTTTCTACTGCTTGAATTGATCGCCTGTGCTGTAGCATTAGTGACCCCCCTTTATCCTAGCCAAGAGCGCCAAGGCTTTTTTTTTTTTCCATAATAAAAAGTTTAAATGAGTTGGGTTCAAAAGTTCATTAAGACCCGGCATTCTTCCATAAACAGATCGCTTATTATAGATTCTCATTTCGGCAACAAGTAGATTTAGTTGTCAAAGAGATGCAGAACATTCATTGAGTTATGAAATCAAGTAGTGGTTTGAAGTTTGAACAATTCCAAGTTAAACTAGTAATTTAATGTTGCAATAAGTCCTTTAAATGATTCCCTTTTAAGGTGAAGAATTGCATCTCCAAGCACTTGAACATGCGCGAGGATTATCCTCAACCTCTTTTCTTAATGTAGGTTATATCAAGACCTTCGCCTTTATGGTCTGGTCCATTTGTGCATGTATTGCCATTGCTCTCATTGCTCTTGGTGCCTCCAAAGTACACGCATTCAGCATACTGGCTCTGGGCGGCAGGTCCGGGTTACACTCACTTGCACATCCATTCCACTTCGTTTTAAAATCCAATCATGCTTAGAATCATTTGATCATTGCAGGATTTTATCTTTTAGCTAGGCTAGGGTCGGAGAGGCTACTGATAGAGTGACTTTCAAATTGACTTTTCATACTGTGAGCGGCCACACAATCAAGCACTTGTCTGCTTTCATTCATGGTTCCGGTCTTATCGACAGTCATGCTTGCAAAGAGGAACGTTGATGTCAAGAGGTATTTCAATGCATGCATCATCTTAATGGATTTGCTAATTTAGGAATTTGATTTTTTTTTCCTGAAACATGGCCTCAAATTGAATCGTTGTTTTGAAAGGGGAGGGGGGGATAAAAAACTCAAGAAGGAGAATGCACTGGCACCAACCTCAGGTGCCATGACAGGTTCCTTTCATAAAATCTTCTAACGTGTCTGCTGGAAATTGGAATGCATATGTAGCATGAAAAAAAAAAAAAGTAGTACCATTAATACGTAAATCTTTTAACAAGGCAGCTAGATATGAGTATTGTTTTTCTTCTTTTGGGATTTCATAACAATTTGTGGTTTTTTTTTTTGGATACTTTTCTCTGAGATACAGTATCCAATGTATTTCATAGGTAGCTATGCCCATGTTCCATTCGTTTTCCTGTTATTGATTTGCCCTTTTACCATTAATCATAGCTTGTGAGATGTCACATGATTCAAGCTTTAAAGTCATTTAATTTATGTCATACAACCTTGAGTTGCAAATTTGTTAGCATATACGAACTGCAAAGTATTGTAAATATCATAACTTCTTTCTACTGCTTGATATTGATCGCCTGTGCTGTAGCATTAGTGACCCCCCTTTATCCTAGCCAAGAGCGTCCAAGGCTTTTTTTTTTTCCATAATAAAAAGTTTAAATGAGTTGGGTTCAAAAGTTCATTAAGACCCGGGCATTCTTCCATAAACAGATCGCTTATTAATAAGATTCTCATTTCGGCAACAAGATTTGAACTCATGACCTTATTTGTGATGAGCCAAATCCTTACCAACTAGATCAACCCTAACATCCATAGGCTTTAACAACAGCTTCGCCTGTTTTTTAAGCCATCTCAAGGACGAGCATTTGGGATTCGAGTGCTCTTAGGAGAAATCAAATGTAAATTGATAAGGAGAGAGACATCATTCCCATTTACTAACTTAGCTAACCCTCTTGAAAGCGTAATAAGTGGACAATTTCGAGTTTCTTTCTCTTGCATTTTATTTCAAGTACTGATTTGCATGATCTTAATTAATCTGATGCGGTTGCTATGGTCTTCATGAAGCCAAAAGTCTGCGTAAAACATGGAGGACTTTACGTCCTTATAACAAGGCCCACGAAGAAAACTCATGGTGAGAGCTATAACAGGGAGGCCCCCGAAGAAAGGCCGCTACTATATCACAGAACAGTTGTATAAAGTAACATGTACTGTAGTTAGTTCCTGATCTGTACAGTTGTTTTTCTTAATCTTGCAGCAATTATATACGGACCTGTTTGCGCATGTTTGCGGCTTACTCTGTTGTAGAGTGATAGAACTCAGAACAATGCTTGAGTCCAAGTTATAAATATATGCAAAAGTAGCTCCTTTCTTCCTTTCATTTTTCAGACCAATCAAATATCTTTTAAATCGTGAATTCTATTTTTATTTTTTACAAAGTACTGTTTTTGTCGTACTATTATATTTGATGTAAATTCTTAACAGTTTGATTTTTATAGTTGTTCATAAAACATTTACATTTACAAAAAGAAGAGTTGTATTTCAACTTCATAATAATCCGTATTTTCTGCTATATTTGGTATGTACTTTTTTCATAGTTTAACTTTGATATCGTGGTGTTTGAAAGCTGGATAAAGAAAGTAAATGGAAAAATTTAGGATAACAATTTTTTTATTCCTTAAATTTATCTGACCTTTGAAATTTAATATTCATTAATAAGTCCTTAAAATTTTATATTTGATTATGAGATTTTAAAAGAATTTGATTAATAAATATTATATTTTAGAAATCAAATTGATAACTTGCACAAACTGTTGAGAAATGTCAAAAATTTTCTTTAAATATAGGATCGATTGAGAGTAAGATTATAAAAGAGAATTTTGAAGTTAGCTGACATTCATATACATGCTCCTTGTTTTGTTTAATGACAATCTTATATTCAGTCCCCTTGTTTAACATGCTAATGATAGGTAATGGAATAAAATACCTTTTCTTCTATAAGTTTAACCATTAAGACAACTTCAATAATAATAGTCAACATTACATTAATATCATCGAATAAAACGAACTGGCTCAATTCATTAAAAAAAAAAAACTAGTTCAATTCAAGTCACACAAAAAATAATATAAAAAATTGTAAAACGAGATAGAAATTTAAGAGTCCATTTGTTACGTAAAAAATAATATAAAAGTAAATGAAAAAATGTCCAAAAATGAGACAAAATATATCTTGATAAAAATTTTATACATTTTTTAAATAAAATAAATACTATTTATGAAAAGAAACATTATATGGAGCCTAAAATCATAAAACTATTCGAATTTCTTTCTTTGTTTTCAATTTGGTTTATGGGTCCTGTGATATTAGGGTGTTCATATATATTTATAAAAATAAAACCTCTTAGATAAAACGAAAATGGTCTGAAAATTATAGGGAGAGATGTCATGTGCCTATTAGTCGAGGATAGGCGAAGCGCGAAACGATATTCAGAAAGTTTCGTATGTTCATAAAATATTTACAGAACGCTTTCGAGTTGACTTCTAGCAGAAACAGAAGCAAGAAAGGCCTCTACATACATATATAGTGCTTTTAAATTGCCTTATACTGTATATTTTCGAAGCTCCTTCATATAGCTAGCGATAAGATCTATAACCAATGATAATGATAAAACAAGGACATATAACTTTGTTAAATGAGATACTATACTACAAGCCTTTAGATGAGAGAGAGACTCATAAAACAACAATATTATCTCAATGTTTCTTTCTTTCTATAACTCCCATACTCATCATCTGATCTCTCCAGCTCAAGTAAGCTAAGCGCATATATATAACAGATGAAGAAGCAGCTGAAAGAAGAGTTTAGATTTCACGGCACGAAAAAAGTAATTTCTTACTTTTGAAGATGACAAAGAAGTTTGCAGACTCTAGAAAGAAAGTGAGCTCATCAAAATCATTCTTTACAGCAATAACATAAACCATCCACTAGGGTTTCATCTTGCTAAAAGAAGCAGGATATGTACACAGGCAAATTAAAGGCTCACTTATTGTTTCATCACTTAGCTAGCTAGCTATGGAGCTATGTTGGCACGAGAAAAGAGGTTGATGAATTCTGAAATACTCATGGTCTCTTCAATGTTGGAAGCATCTACGTCGTCTTCTTCAACCAACTCAAATTTATCAGAATCACCATCTTCTGCTTTCCCTTTGTACACCAGTGCTGTTCCTTCCTTGATTTCCACTTTCCGGCATCGAGTAATCATTCCACTTTTCCTCAGCTTTTCAAGCTGATCCATCGTCATTCATGTTCCACAAAACAGTAGTACTGTAGTGTAATATTGTTCATATTGATAAAAAAAACAAAGTTTAATTACTATACGTGGTTGTTATTATTACCTGATCGTCCAGCCAAGAAAGTTGATCACTCAATTTTCCTTCTGCTAGCTATAATTTATGAAAAAGATGATGAGAAATTAATTTACAGTTGAAATATAATTAATAAACTTTTGGAATATTAATATCAATTATACACACACACACACACACACACATATGGGCACCTCAAGTTGGGTCAAGGCAGCTTTGTTTCTGGGATCTAGCTGCAAAACTAGACAAAACAAAAGATCAAGAGTCAGATTACAAGTACGCAAGAGATCAATGCACAAGAATATACATATATATTATAAGGTTTAATGCATTAATTATTTCTCATGTTTGAAGCTGTCTCATCAGAGATTTGGATTTTATGAGCGTCTCAAATCCTCTCTCACCTAGTGAGTGTCCACGCTACTATACAATAAGATTTCATCAACATTTGAAAATTTATACTTGACTACAAATAAGTGAAACGGTGAATTTATAGAATGGTTTTATTGTGAAGATGCATACATTTCAACCATTTCACTACCGCCGCATGAACTATTAGATTAAGGCATTGGGCACCACAAAAAGGTAGAGCTCTACATTTTTTACAACCGTTTGATTGGATCAAAACAATCTCTGTAATAACACAAGGAACACTTACTGAATGAGAGGGTTTAAAACGCTCACCAAATCCGGACCCGTCTCATCATTCAATTTAAAACATGTATCATATATACTTAATTAATTTCTAGCTTCAGATTCTGTCGTAAAATTCAAAAGATTTGGTTTAGCTATATATATATGTGTGTGTGTGTGTGCAAGTGTAATTATTAAGATCAAGAATTATTAATATACGTACCTTTTAAGAAACCATCCCAGATAGCATCAAAGTATTTTCCTTGTTCAGAGTAGGCTAAACCTAAGCGATAGTAAGCTTTGGTGTAGTTAGAGTTAAGGCTGATAGCTTTACAACAGTCACCAACAGCTTCATGAAACCTCTTAATCTTGATCAATGCAGCCCCTCTGTACAATGAAGAACAATTATATTAATTAAGCCCAATATTGATTGAGATTAATAATAATCTAGGATTAATTAACTGTATATATACCTATTGCAATAGTAGACAGCGTTGTCGAGGGTAATTGCAATGGCACAGCTATAGAATTCAGCAGCTTTGGCATAACAAGTAGATTCCATGGCCCTATTTCCTGCGCAATTGTCAAGTTCTTTGAATTGATTATTCCCACGTCGTACATGTGTATATGTCTATCATCCATGTTTCGTTTAGTTTACCGTTGACTGGATTACCAGATAACAATATCTCTAAAGACAATAAGATGATATCATTCGTAACTTCAAAAATGTGAATCAGATTTCGTACCCAGTTTTTTCAGGGCCTCAGCGACGTCCTTCATGTTAAGTGATCTGGAATGCCCTTCTTGGCTAATCACCTGTCAAGGGTTTAAGAATCAGTGTGTCTACGTATATACATAAACTTGAGAACTTGGATCAACTAGCAAGAGTTTATCCTCTTAATCAGAGGTCTCGAGCCCTAAATAACCATTAAATTCTCCCAGGGAGGCATACCTATAATCTAAGATACCCACCGGATTGCTCCGGGTCAAAGTCAAAGACCTGGACACCATAGCTCATGCAAATAGATTTATATACAAACACTTAAAAAAAAAGAAGGAAGAATTGAAGAAGCTGTGATTGACAGCATAAATAAATGAACACACACAAATAATATTAAAGTGATATAAATATACACATACCCCAAGAGCTTGGTTGAAAATTTTGCCGATAATAGCATTGATTCTCTTTTTGGGGTTGGCATGACCAAGCAGAGAGTCGAGACCTCCATATTTGAGCACTATCTGTTTGAATTCCTTCTGGAAGCTCACCATGTTCCGACATGCGGCCACGGCACTTCCTGCCAGACATCAATCCAAACACTAACTATAAATCAAATTCACGCAATAATATTATTATTGAATAGCTCATCACTATTTTCAATAACGGATATATGTACTTATAATACTCTAAGGAGTGTATGTATGGGAAAATCACTCTTATATTTTATAAAATCACAAAATTACTCTGAAATCCGATGTCATATAATTTACTTAATTAAGTTAATTATCAATTCGCAATGAAGTTTCCAATCAACGCTTGATAGTTGTTAATGTATGTATTTTCAGTTGACAATTAAATAACAATAATTTAACAACTATCCAACGATAATAATGGACAACTTTAATAAACAGCATAGAACTTCACAGTGATTTTGCAATTTAATGGGACTTTTATATGCTTAAATTCCTTCTATAGAAAAGGAAAGCGATTTTCCCTCCAATTTGTCATTTTAAAACTATAAAAAGTGTAAGCTAGATCAAGACTAGTCAAGAACGCACGCAGATATATTTCATGCTTAGATCGAAAGAAGTGATGGTCAAAGCAATAATCAACGCATGCATTTATACTGATCGATGAATCCAAGCGTCTTCCGGTTAATATGAGACCAAGCTGCATTTTTTTTTCCTGATGATCTGGTTTAGTTTTAGAGTAAGAGAAGTAAGAAAAAGGAAGCAAAATGGGGTTTTCTCTGTTATATACCTTTAGAAGAAGATGAACTAGTGCGTTTAGCGGTAGGTGCAGTAGTGGAGCTACAAGAAGGTTCATCATCAGATTCCTCAAGTTCTTGATCAGTATCGTCTTGAGGAGTTCTAAATAAAGTTACAAGAATCCCAGGTTTGCTTATTTTCTCATCATCTTCCACCTTTTCTTCATTTATCTTGAAAATCAATCTCAGATTTTTCGCCACACTTTTAATGCGCTCTTTCTCTTCTTTGTTCGCACTTTGAACTGCCCATTATTCAGAGTGTAAATTAAACTTCAACCAAAAATTTAAACAGGTAATAATAAATTATTATTTATATAAAGCAACAAGCAGGAACTAACAAAAATGTAAATTAAACTTGAAGACTAGAATATTTGGGTTGAGAATATGTATGTTCGAGGGATTGACGGCTGTATTCTTTTTTCCTTTTTTTTTTTTTTGGTGGAGATTAGAGTTCCCAGGTTTGCTCACTATTGGCTATAATGGATCAAAATCCTCTAAAATTCACTCCCGCAAATTTTCTAATGAAACAACATTCTTTGAATGATTTCAAATTTTCAATATTGTAATATTTTGCTCCAAATACTTCTAATTTTCTCCTTCATTTCACGTATTTAGCTGTTGAATAAATCAAGTGGCACAAATCAAATGCATCTACTGCCACTTGATTTATTCAACAACTCAAATACGCTTAATTAAATTCATCAAGAAATTTTAAAGAGTGAACTTTAGAAAATTTTGACCCACTAGAGGTCAGCCTCCTGGACAGCAAGATGCTCCTAAAAGCTTTTGCCCTAATTTTTTTTGGTACATAAATTAAGCATAATATTGAGGGGTAAATCTCAATAGATGAACCTTATATCACATATCACAACATGCAAGATAACAGCTTGAAAAGTTTGAGCCTCACTCTCTAATAAATGTGGATGGCCTGGTTCGTCTCCCCCGATGCCTCCTTCTTTCTGCACTCACATCGACAGGTTTTTCCTTGTCTCTCTTCTTCTTCTTCTTTTAGTTTTGTGTTTTTTTCAAACCCACCTGTCCATGCGAGTGCAAGAAGGAGACTGACCAGGAGGAAACCCAATCCAATGTGGACGTTCACATATTCTCAACCCAGCTAGGTTTTTGAAAACTCAGCTTCTGAATCAATAAAATTAATAATAATAACCCAACAAGCAAGCAATTGGATACATATATTTCTGCAGAAAAGCATCAGAATGATTTGCACACGAACCAGTTGAAAGGAACTGCAGGAACGCAAGAACTATTCTGATGCAAAGCTGCGAGCTGCTCGTCAGGTTCGCCATCTTCAGTCTGTGCCACAGATCACAGAGAAAGCTAGAGAGAGAGAGAGGTGAGAAAATTTGTAGTGTGAGAGGGGAGGAAGACAGTGCAATGATATATATATGTATATAGTTATGAGTGCATAACGTCTATTTGTTTCCAAAATGAAAAAGGGCAAAAAAAAAAAAAGAGCAGAGAATAAAGATGGTTTGCTTGAGGAATGGCGTGAATGATATTTGTCGTCTGCTTAATATTTAATGATTATTATTACAACAGCTCTCCTAAGGCAGATTCCAAATTAAAATGGTGAATGGAATTAAAGACTACCGGAAAATAATGGATATGCATGAATTAAAGGTATTTATGAATATTAATGACTACCAAGTTTGATTGGATTTGTTTGTGGAGTAAATAAATATATTCTTTTACTTTAATATTATAAGGTATTTTTAATCAAATTACACACCTAATGAATTACTTTCTTTGTTCCAATATATAAGAGGTTTTCTTGAACATCTTCTTGTTCCTAAATATAAAATGTTGTTTGCATATTTTTTAATAAATGAACCATTATATCATTATTAAATTGAAAGAGAAAAAGATAAGTACTCTTATTAATTTACTTTGAAAAAAATTCATTTTTTATTTATAATAATTAGGGGAAAAATTTAATTTTGCTATGCTTTTAATTAGATAACTAAATTTTTGTGTGATTCGGTTAAGAACATCTTATATATAGAGATGAAGGAAGTAGTTAATAATCTTTAAAATTAGGAAAAATTACATATAAATTTCATGGAGTTGACTTGTTTATAAATAAGTCTTGTAAAATTCAGACACCACAACTAAGTCTCTTAAGATTTGAGTATAATTTAAATTGGAGTAAAAGGATAATAATGCCTCAAACATATATACATTATATCAGTAAATAATTTTTAACTATTTCATCAGTTTAACTATTAGATATATGAAATTACAGTTGTAAAAAGTTTAAGTTATAATTATAAATTATTGATAAAGTAATGTATGTTTTACATGGATATTATTGTCTTCACAACCTAATTTCAAATTACATTTGAGACTTAACTGTAATTTTTAAATTTTGCAAGACTTATTTGTGAATAAATCTGCTCCATGGGACTTACATATAATTTCCCATAAACTTATATGTTCCTTCCACATTCGAAATCTTATTAATTACATTTATAATTAAAGGCATTTAAAAAAAAACTCATTACTTATACTTTGAAAGACCTAAAATATCTTGTATTTTTTATCATCTTGCCTAAGAAAAATGCATAATATTTTTTGAATAGAGGGAGTGTGTTAGTAATATTATTCACGAACCAACATGCATGAGTCATCCTAGTGGAAGGGATTATGTATAATTGTTTAAGTATGAGGTTTTAAGTTCAATTTCTGTGTAAAGGTAGAACAGGTTTTTGGAAGAGTTATCTTCAATTAAACACGACAACATTTGAATATGATAGTTAAATAACTATATAAAAAAATATTATTCATGAATAATAAAATTTTCAATCCCTCAAGTCAGATAGCAAGAAGTATACATGCTCTTTCCATATTTTCCTTACTTAATGGGAAGTTTTAATTAAAAAACTTATTAATTACACCCAAATTAACAGTATTTTTTAGAAAAACCTCATCAATTGTACCATGAAAGATCCAAAATGCTTGATGTTTTTTTAATACCTTACCTAAAAATGCATGATATTTTTGAAGGGAGGAAGTATGTTAGAATACTATTTACAAACCAATATGTGTTAGTTCTAGTAGAATGAGCTATATATATATATATATATATATATATGACCGTTTAAGTACAATACCTCTAGCTTGATTTTACGTAAATGCAGAAAATGCTTTTGAAAAAGTTATCCTCAATTAGATCCAACAATGCTCAAAAATCTGACACAGTTAGGTAGCCATATAAAAAATATATTATTAACAAATAATGAAACTTTTGGTCCCTCAACTTTATGTTTGCTTATTAATTTGATCCTTGAAATTTAATTTTTTTAATTAAGTCTTTAAAATTTTATAACTATATATACACACAACTAGTTATTCTTATGGAATTCAAAAAGGAAATAACTCCAAAAAGATTATTGGTATTATCATCATAAAATTTTAGACACTTAATTGATAAAAATTCAATTTAAAAACTAAATTGATAATCTTAAAAATGACGGGCCCAAAGTTTAATTATCCTTATTATTCAATGAAGATTATGTACCATACTATTCACTGGAAAAGTCTGCGGACATTTGCCCCACACACACACACACACACACACACACAAAGGCAATAAAAGGGGTTTAATCTCAAGCTTTTTTAACAAGTGAGACCTCACAGGTTTAATCTTGTTTCTAACTTCAAGTCGCCAATGTTTACCTTACAATAAAGAAAAATCATTAATCATACATTTTTTGAAAAAAAAAACTTAGAAATGATTTTTCAAAGTTTTTTAAATTTTCTTTTATAATTGACAAGAATTTTACAATAAAGAATCGATAATAATACAACATTCAAATAAGTTAATTGACATTGAAATTTTAGTACTAAAAAAATCCTTGATTATATGAAATTTGGAAATGATTACTTATAAACTTAAATTTAAAGTTAGTCAGTTGTCTTTAAAATTACACACTTTTTTCATATTTACTTTTAATTAATAAGACATCTTAATTAAGAAAACCATTAATTACAGTACCCCCTAAAAAAGGTATTTTTGAAAAAAAAAACTTCATTAATTGTATTCTGAAAGGCCCAAAATTTATTATATTTTTTAACATCTTACCTCATAAAAAATGTATTATATTTTTATATAGAGTGAATAAGTCATTGTCAAGTAATTTATGTTTATAAAAAAATTTCATTAAAATGTTGATTTTTTCAAAAGTTTTCACACCTTTTCAAACGTATCATTGAATGTGATAAATATAATATTTAACTTATTCAAAGTATCATAATTGGGAAAATAACATACTCCCTCAGTCCCTATTATAATTTTTAAGACAACTCCAACTATCTCATTGAAATGAAGACAAGATGGTTAAGTTATTAATTTTATCTAAAAATATAACAAACTTCTAATTTTACTCCCATTGAATTGAAAATTGATCAAAATTTTACTTTCTCATAATTAATGAGTTTAAATAGAAGTTATATTAAAAAATATAATTAATACCTTATCAATTGCCTTATATTAAAGACCAAAAAATATTTCTAACAGTATCTAGTAACCTAAAATAAGAAAAAGTGCATGAGTGCCTAAAAAAATTATTTGTTCAGTACATCCGTAACCAAATCATTTAAAGTCAAAGATGTTGATCATTATGTTTTGAATATAAAATTTAATTATTTTGTCACAAATGTATCAAAAAAATAATTTCATGAGCACTTGTACATTTTTTTTTATTTTAGACCATTGAATATTTATGGCTGATGGCTTTTTAAATATGTTTACTCATTTGCCTAATATCTTATAATACTCAGTGAGGAAGTATAGACGACAAGGAATCTAATAAAGTTTGAGGGTTGCTGATGAGGGGGAAAAACATATAAAAGAGATGTCGAATCCAAAGAAAGCATAGCATGCGACAATTCAGATCCCGAGGACGGAGAAGAATGAGAATATTGCAGCGATCGAGGTTGGTTGCCTGCAGATATTGCCGAGAATGATTATGAGTGTGGAGGCTTCTCACGTTTGTTGTAGAGAAGACACCCTCATTCCTCCCTGGCGCTCTCAATTTTTTAGGATGCTTCTTTCAGGCACTAATGACAAGGATTCAACTTGTCTGGCTGTTTTAAATTTAATTTAAATAATTCATGTTTAATATAATATAAAAATGGGAAAATTGCCTTAAAATACTTGACCACAAATTTAATTGTGGAGAGGAACTTGAGCATTAGAGAAGGACAAAAGTCCTGTAGTGACATTAAATAAAATGACCAAATTATCCTCACCAAATCCCATCCCTCTCTATCCTCTCTAGCTTGTCCTTGCGATTGATTTCTCACAACGTTCTAGCCAACCATGATTTCGACAATGACGGCAATGATAGTGAGTAAAGTGAGGTCAAGAGCAATTGGTAACTCTCACTAACCCTTTTTCTCTAACTCTTATCTCAATCATGTATCGCCTACTTTAAATTCTTTCAAACCTTAACATCCTTTCTACTCCAGTTATCATCCTTCATCGTCTTCATCGATTGAGGACTCATGGCTTTTACTCTACAATCTTTTCTACTTGATTCATCCTTCTCCATCTTTACTTCGTGGCTTTGTGCTTATGGTTCTCCTCTACTTGATTGAAGATGGTGATCTTGTTTTGATGAATGTTGGTTGTGAGTTGCATGAAACACCAGTGATCTTACCCATACTTGGCGACTTTGTGGTAGCTTTTCTTCTTCCAAGGTTAGCATAATGAATATTTTTAATCAATTCTATTTATTGTAGTGGCACTAAATAAATACTTATCTTCTTTATCATCTTTAGAAGTTCTTGAAAAGTTTGATTTATTATTTACGCAACCCTATTTTTTCACATGATCTTTTACCTCTCTAATAACCATTTCATTGGTTAGTTATTTGGTTTTGTTCTAGCATCAATTTAAGACCATCAGAATGAATATTGCCTATTAAAATCCTAATTGATGAGATCAACTTATATGGATTGTCAATCTTTAAGCAGAAGTTTGTCTATTGTATGGTCATTATTGGGGCATTATAGCTTCATTTCAAGTGTTATGAGACCTTTAAGTTTAGTTCCTCATTCTTGGCATTACTCAACTAATATAAATTTCCTATAATGGCATGATAATGTGTTAAGTTTTAATCTTGTTAAGTTTTGAAGTCATTTGAGAATCAGCATAAGAGCATTTTGAAATTTGTTGCTTGCATGCTATAGCCATGCTGATTGATATCGTTCATTCACATATTAGTTAAGAGCTTGTTTATAATTATTTTGTTCAAGTCATAGCAATTGAACTAGATGTATACAT